ATCTGCAATGGCAAGGACACCAAAACACCACTGACAGCCACCTCCTTGCTTGTAATCGGGAACTGCAAGATTTTTTAGAAGTCTGCGATGAGCTCTCGGTCTCATGTTTGCACTCATTTCTTGAAATTGGGTAAAGAACATATCCATGATTGGCTGTAATGATATGTATTTACCTGATAGCTGCAGTATATTGAGTGAAGTGAGCTATCAAGAGGCAACAGATTAGGATTGCAGGGGTGGAGGTGCTATGGTAATTTCACTGGACTAGTAATTCAAGATCTCAGGTTAATGTTCTGGTGGTGCCAGTTTGAAGCTCACCATAGCAGATAGAGAAATCTGAAATTAATAAAATTAATCAGGAATTAAAAGCTACCCAATGGTAACCACGTAAAAAGAATCTACTTCATTAGTGTACTTTAAGGAAAGCAATCTTCCATCCTTATCTTCTCTGACCTACATGTGACTTTAGTTACACAGCAACGTGGTTGACTCTCAACTATTCTCTAAAATGTTTTGGCAAAGCGCTCAGTTCCAGGGCAACAAGGGATGGGGAATAAATGCTGGCTGAGTCAGCAATATTCACATCCCATAAACAAGTTAAAATAAAAGGATAATCTCAGTAATGGATGGTTAGATGGGTAAGTGAGGATTGATGCAATGAAGTAAGCATGACGAGGCAAAGAGAGAGAGGTTGAGGGATGCATACAACAGGACGTAGGAGAATGAACAGTGGTCCAGGCCTGGTTAGGTCATTAAACACTTTCCACAGTGAGTCCAGGATCATGAGACAATACTCCTGCTACTGACCTCTTGGGCCAGTAATTATTATTTTTTTAAAAAATTATTCCTTCTTTAGGTCAGCAGCTGATTTCTTGCTCCCCTTGCTAAAGAGCATCTTTTTACAAGCCTTCACGGTTGCATATCAAGCAAGATACCATGAAAGTACAGCTCGATCTTCGGTTGGCCTAATTCCAGACTATCTGTGTTTCTTCCAGCTCATGACTCTCAAAAATTCCATCTTTGGATTGGCCTTTTAAATATAGGAGTTGAGACTGTGATACTTGGGTTCTCATCACGCCCACTATTCACAAAGGATGCCAAGCTTTCCTGCTCCTCTGATGCTGCTTGGCCTGCTGTGTTCATCCAGCTCTACACCTTGTTATCTCACTTAGGTAAACAGTTTTCTGTTCTCAAGTTCTCAAAATTGCATGGTCCCAGATGAGCCAGCCAATTTTATGTTCCTTTACAGAAACTAGATGGAAGTACACAATACCAACTATTTACAATAAGACTAAAGTTACAAGATTCCATTGTTTTGGACAAACAATAAACTTTACTACACAAACATATAACAGTAATAGAATGCATATACACAACTTATATTCTAACATCCAATCCAAATTAACTGAGGTAAACATGGGTAACAGAAACAGGGTCAAAACATATCAAATAGCAAATACAGTCTAGACAGATGCCACAGACTTCACAACAATCCCCAAGGTGTTCATAACATGATTGTCCATAAATATCATCAAAACTTTAAAGGGAATTGCACTTTCTTCTTTTTCAAAAACCAAACTTCAGAACTCCCTCAAGAGCTACTCTTTCATAAACTGCTGACACGATACTAGTTCACTCTCCCCATCAAAACAGTACTCTCCTAGATTCTGGAAACTGCATTCAAGCATGTATTCTCAGCTAAATTTCAGCATTTTGCAGACAGCTACCATCACCAAACTGCTACGGCCCTTGTTTTCTGGGCTTTAATCTTGATCAGATGCCCAAATCAAATACAGTTTGTAGGCATCCTTCACACCTGCTTTCAGTTACACTGAATTATTAATAGCTCAAGGTATTTTCAAAACCTCAACAGCTTGTGACCCCAAACACCAGCAATTAGCTGCACCCTGGCTTTCTGGACCTCAAGGGCATAGTGTTCACAGAATTTTGTATTAAGTTTGAAATTTAAGAGGCAAAAAATGCCTAACAGGAAAAGTGAGGGTGTCACAACTAATTTGGGAATTAAAAGGTGATATCAGATCAAAAGGAGGTGGCTTATAAAGTTGGCAACAAAGTTGCAAGCCTGAAGATTGGGAGCATCTAAGAGAGAAATAATAGAATGTGAATGTAAAATAGTATGAAACATAACAATAGACTGTAAAAGTTTCTAAGGTATGCAAAAACAAAACGATAAGCAAAACAAATGTTGGTCTACATAATTTACAATAGGAATTGCAGATGTTGTAGGAAGCAAAATATGTACTTTGTGTTTATTTTCAGAGCAAGATACAAGAAGTCTCCCTGAAATAATTAAGCTCCAAGGGTCTAGTGAGTATATTGAACTGAAAAATTTTAGAATTGGTTTAAAAAAAAAACGAAGCCTTGCAGAAATTAATGGGATTGTTAGTTAACAAGTTTCTAGAGACCCAATGATGTTCACCCTAGAGTGCTGAAACAGATAGCTACAGAGAGTGGATGTCTTAGTGATCTTCAAACAAAATTCTATTAATTCTGTAACAGTGCCTGCAGATTGAAAGGTTGTGAATATAACCTTATTGTTCAAGAAAGAAGGGAGAGAGAAAATGGGTAACTGCAGATCTGTCAGCCTGACATTACTAATGGGAAAAGTACTAAAATCTGTTATAAACAATATGATTCTGTGGATTTAGAAACACAAACTAGGAACAGGAGTAGGCCATTCAGCCCTTCAAACCTGGCCCACCATTCAACAGAATCACAGCTCATCATCCACCTTAATACCCTAATCCTGCTTTTGCCCCATACCCTTGGATCCCTTCAGCTCTAAGAACTCTCTCCTTCATGATAACATTCAATATTTCAGCCTCAACTACTTTGTGGCAGAGAATTCCACATACTAACTACTCTCTGGGTGAAAAAATATTTCTCCTCATCTCAGTCCTAAATGACCTACATCTTATCCTTAGATCGTGACCCTTGGTTCTGGACTCCCTGGTCATTGGGAACATCCTTCTTGTTCTTATTGCATCTAGTCCTGTTGTTAGAATTTTATAGGTTTCTATGAGGTCACCCTTCAAACTCTAATGACTATAGTTCTAACCAATTCAGTCCTTCTTTGTAACTCAGTTCTGCCATCCCATGAATCGGTCTGGTAAACCTTTGCTTGCACCCTCGTCCCCATAGCCAGAATATCCTTCCTCAAACAGGAGGTCGAAACTGTACAAATACTCTAGGTGTGGTTTCACCAAGGGTCTGTACAATTGCAGTAGGACATCCCTGCTCCTGCATGCAAATCTGCTCACTATGAAGGTCAACATACTATTTGCCTTTCTCACAAAAGATGCCTGCAGCATCTGCATGCTTATTCATGTAGAAGGACACCCAAGTCTCATTCCACCTCCCCCTTTTCTAATCTATTGCCATTCAGATAATCTGCGTTCCTGTTTTTGCCAGTGAATAACCTTACATTTATCCACATTGCATTTCATCTACCATGTATTTGCCCACCCATTCAATTTGTGCAAATCACACTGAAGCATCTCTGTATCGTCTTCAAAGTTCACACAGCTTTGTGTTATTTGCAAGCATGATTTGTTTGGACAGAACCAAAATAGATTATTGAAGGGGAAGTCATATTTGACAAACCTGATAGTTTTTTGAGCGGACACTAGCAGTGTCGATAAGGGGATCAGGTGAATGTTGACTATTTGTATTTGCAGGAGACTTCTGATGTGTCTCATGCAGGAAGTTACTGAACAAAATTGAAGCAGATGGATTTCGGGGTAATTTACTAACATGGATTGAGGATTGGCTCACGGGCAGAAAGCAAAGTGCAGAACTAAAATGGGAATTCCCAGGTTGGCTGGCTGTAACCAGTGTGGTACTGCAAAGATCTATGCTTGTCCAAATTCCAGATCAATAGTTTGAATGTGGGAGTCAATTTGATATTTCCAATTGGTGGGAAAGAGTTCTGAGGAGAATTCAAGAGGACTTAGGCTGAGTGATTGGACAAAAGACCGGCAGATTGAATATAATGTGGATACGTATGAGGTTATCCACTTTGGTAGGAGAAAAAGGTAGTGAAGATTATTTCTTAAAATACTGGAAAGTTTTCACATCCAAAAGACCCTACATGTCCCTGTTCAGAAGTGACTGAAAGCTAACATACAGGCGCAGCAAGCAATTCGGTATGTTGGTCCATACCGCAAGAGGAACTGAGCAGAGGAGACTTACGTCATTGGCTTGAACATTGGTAGAAAGACACCCAGAGTATTATGAGCCTTAAAAACTGAAAGAAGTTGCTAGAAAAACTCAGCAGACCTGGCAGCATCCGTGAAGAAAAAAATCAGAGTTAACGTTTCAGGTCTGGTGACCATTTCTTTGACCTGATGGCAGTTAGGAAAACTTTGGTTTACCTGCAAAAGGTAGGGAGGGGGAGAAGGTAGGGAATAAACGATGGGTGGGGATAGAACCCAAATGAGACAGAAGAGCAGTTGGGTAGACAAAGGAGTTAATAATGATCTGGCTGGGAGGGTGATTAGCTGTTAATGGGGACTGTTAGGTGACTTTTTTTGTATTATGAGCCTTAATCTGGTTCTGGTCCCTAACAAATGATTATCTTGCTGCTTAATGGCTCATCTTGCTTAATATCCCAATGGGACAGAGATTGGGGTAAAATATATTCATTGAGTTTTAAAATGAACCTACATTATATTTCCTCCCACGGCGCCTGCAGTATTTAATACTAGATTTAAAATGTATCACAATGCAGGAAATGTTCCATTCTGTAAAATGTAAATCTCACTTCATTGGAGAACAACAATTTTTCTCATTAATACACAGAAATCTGAAATCTGTATTGTATTGTAAAGACTAATATTTCCCATGAAGACAAGATTATAACCCAACCACATTTTAAAAAAAAACTTGTTTTTGTTAAAACTAAAATGATATTTTCTTTTGTAAAATCAATTTCAACAAATCAAAGAAAGAACTGCGGAAATTGCCTCTGTGACACTCACCCAGAAATATCAGAATAAATAGCTGTATCCACAAAGTAGGTTGGTAGCAAGTGGCAAATGAGGAGGAGGATCGCCATAAAGTTCTCTCCTTGTGTCAACCAGAGGTCTATCACTGCTGGCATAGCAGCCCAATAAGTTCCCAGAAAAGGGACAGCTCCAAGCGTGGCTGCTAGAGCTGACAAAGAAAAGGACAAATGAATGTTTACAGCAAGGATCACTTTACCACAGCACTTCTAAGTTGCAACCTAAATGAATGCCCATCTTTCGTTTAGCCATAGCAGTTGGTTGCCTGAAGTCAATTTTTGCCCCTAAAGACATGCTCCTTTGGAGAAAGCTAAACCAAGCCTTAGGTTGTGCCTTTAGCAAGGCTTAAGACTACCTCATGATCGTCAAACTTTTCGGTGTTTAACATCAGACATCCTCACTGGGTGTCTCACTAAAATTTGAGGTTAGTTAGACCTCCAACTTCCCTAAACCCACCATCATAATGTTATCCATTTTGTTATCATTCTTGACAGTGTTTATGCTATTTGTACTATCTAGGATATAGACAGCTATTCAAGTTGCGATTAGGCAGACCATCAGTTTCAATTTCAAAGCAACAGTGCAGTTATTTTCAATATTGACATCACCTCAGTACTGACTTAAACAGACAAATCAAAATTGGTCCAAAGAAAGATCTTTTAACAATCTTCATCTTTTCCAGGTTGATCACAAATGCTTGGTTCTGTGATAAAACATTTCATGCACACTGCTACATCAAAAAAAATTAAAGGGATCGTGAAAGGAAAACAAAGAAGTGATGTAAACAGGTAAATTTTAAAGTGAATATTGTTGGGAACACAACAATAAAGAGGCAAGTCATGAGATTAAATTTAATAAATCTGATAATATGCAAGTTGGTACTGAGGAAAATAACTGTGACTACTGCTGGAAAGCATACAAATCCAACTGGTTTACACGTCTTTCATGGAGACTTGGCACTCCAATCTAGTCAGGTGTACAAAGACTTAGGCCAGGAGTTTTGCTTCTGATTTAGGAGAGCAGAGTCAGAACAAATCACAGCACTACAAATCCAGCCTCGGAGACTGTGCCCCAAAAGATCAAATTTTGGTTCTCTGGGGCTGGGGACCAAAATGTGATTTGTAGTAGGCCACTCTAGAAACAGCGAGGAGGCAGGGTCGGACGTACAGATGACCTGCCTCGGCAGTTTATCAACAAATTTTTTCAAGTGCAGAATAACAAAAAACACAGCTATTAAAAAGTGCGATTCTGGATTGTTAAATTCTAAAACAATGCGTTCCTAATATCCGAATCAGAATGGAAAAACATTTCTACTGAATTACAATACAACTAATAATCTATATTTGAAATTGTATCTTATATGTGAAAAATATTTATAACCAGTACCTGAAGGAATGAAGACAATGTTGATTCCAAATATAGTGTGTGTCAACCAGGTGTAAAGCCCGTAGAAAGCAGCCATCTTCAGGGATGCATCAAACACACCACTTGAGTGGAAACAGATAAATTGCAAGTCATTTTTTTTGTAGCAATGTTATTTGTGTGTTAAGATATGCCACAACTGAAGGTAGACATACTAGTTACAGGTTAGAATACAGGAACCTCTGAAAACAAAAATAACTGAAAGCTGTATTTCATATATTTCTAACCATTTTTGCAAACTAACTAAACTGCACACAAAGTTTAAAACTTAGCAAACACAAATTATAATTGTCCCACTAGGTAATTATCAAAATTAAGTGTTTCTTGGTTGAGTCACCCAAGTCAGTGAATTTTCTATTTTCCTCATAGAAATGGAATGGAATACAGCCAGGGCCAAAATGGCTTATTTTTCATTTGTACGTGGGCATCACTGGTTAGGCTAGCAATTATTACTCATTCCAAATTGCACTGGAAATGCTCATGTAGCGTTTCCTTCCTTAACTGATGCAGTTCTTCAGACATACAGACACCCAGTGTTGTTAGGGAGCTTTAACATCGTGACCAAGAAATTCCAATATAGTTCCAAGTCAGAATCGTGTGGGTTTTGGAAGGCAACTTGCAGCTGGTGGTGTTCCCATTCATCTGCTATCCTTGCCTTTCCTGATTAGGAGGATTTGAAAGGTACTGTTGACTTGGTGAGTTACTGCAGTGCATTTTGTTGAAGGTAATCACTGCCAACAACATGCATCAGTGGTGAAAAAAGTAAATGTTGAAGCGTACCAAACAAGTGGGCTGCTTTGTTGTAGATGGTGTATTGTTAGAGCCGCATTCACTCAGGCCATCAAAGTATTCTATCAGACTCCTGCTGTGTGGATACTGGAAAGGCTTTGTAGAAGCAGGTGGTGAGTTACATGCCACAGAATTCATAGCCTCTGATCTGCTCTTGTAGCTGCAGTAATTTTTATGGCTGCTCCAGTTCTGTTTCTGGTTGATATTAACCCCCAGGGTGTTTATAATGCAGCAGAATCAGTGATGGTAATGCAGTTGAATAATCAAGTGGTGATGGTTAAATTCTCTCTTGTTGGAGATGATCATTGTTTGATACTTGTGTGGCGTGAACATTACTTGTTGTTTATCAGCCCAAACTTGGATAGTGGCCAGGTCTTGCTGTGTTTGAGCAGGGACTGCTTCAGTATCTAAGGAGTTGCAAGTGGTGCTGAACATTGTGCAATCGTCAGCGATCATCCTCATTTCAAACCTCATAATGGAGCAACTGAAGATGGCTGTGCATAAGCAACTACCCAAGGAATTCCTGCAGTGATTTCCTCGGATTTGGACAATTGACCTCCAACAAGCACATCTATCTTTTTTAGTGTTGGGTATGATTCCAACCAATGAAATTTTCCCCTGAATCTCCAGTGACTCAATTTTTCTAGGGCTCTTTAATGCCATTGTCTGCACTGAATTCAAGCTTCTGCTAAACTATCCACAGTGAATTAATCGTCAAGTCATCTTGAAGTATCGACACCTCTTTCCACATCTTATCCTCATGCATGCTCATTTTCCATTGTCTGTATTTTCATGGCAAAGCAAATGCTGGTAAAGTTTATGATTACATCCTTTTGTTTTCAGTGGCTCCAAGATCAACGGTCCTGAGATTCTCAAGAAGTAAAAGTTGTTAAAAGATTAAAGTCACCGTAGTCCCAGAGGATGACAGGCAGCTCTCCCATTAGAAAAAGACATCTGATGGCAAGTTTAACCTGTGGATCCCCAGGTCTCAGGTGAGACTGAGTGACTTCAGCTAGTATAAGAAATGAACCTGCACTGTTGGCGTCATTTTGAGTCACTAGCCATCCAGCCAACTGAGCTAACAGAGATGACTGTTTTCAAATCAAGGCATTGTTTATCCACAAGCTCAACAGTGATGGGATGTTCATTAGGACAAAAAACAAGTGATTCAACAGACGTGCATAAATTAATGCAAGGATCTAACATGGTAGAAGCAACTGTTTTCCAGTTGTTGAGGTAACTAGACCCAACGGTCATAAGTGCAAATTTATAAGCAAAGGATTGAAGATGAAGAATTAAATATACCTGTGAAACAATGAAATTAATTCCAGCAGCTAATGGCTGAAGTAGAGCCATGTCAACATTTAAAAACATACTAGATAGGTTATTGTCATATTTTTTAATGATATATATAGTGACATTAAAAAGTAAGTCCAAAGTCCCAAGACAAAGCAGACAGTCTGATAACAACTCATTTGCAGTGTTGAAGCCCTGCACACTTAATTAGTTGCCGACTCATCCCCACCACTAGCCCAATAATGTAGCTATGACGATTGTATATATGGAAAAACACGTGAATTTCGGACCAATTACCATCCTATGTTCTTTCTTTATGCATTTGAAAAGTGATGGAAGGAGCCATCGATAAAGGTATGCAATTGTGGTGTAATCATTCCCTACTTGTGAAAAACATGCTTACCAAACTAATCCAGATATAGTTATGAATTGCAAAAACAGTTCTGAACACCACTCTAAAGAAAAAAAATCTTGTTTTTCTCACCAAGCTTTTTCTCCGCTGGTATTTTTGTAAAATTGAAAATCCCAAGTGATAATTCTGTTCGATACTTGATTTTCTAATGTCCTAATTTAATTCTAGAATCTTCCAGCTGTCTACGGCAGATTTCCAATACTGTGTATGGCACCATCCCCAAACTGAATCCCCTGGTATTGTGAATTAAGAATTTCTCAGAGTAAATGAAATGGCACAATGATATGGCCTGCAATTAATACTGCTCCATATTTTCCCTTGCTAAACACTCCGGAAAATTTTATATACAGAAAGATTTAATTGCCAGTCCTGCCTAACTGCAGCCACGTTTCAGTTAGCGATTATACCTAATTTGAAAATCAATGACCCTAATTACATTCTATGTATTAATATTCCAGCTTGTATTGCCTTATTTTCCGATTTTCCTTTTCACATTCTGATTTCTTCCTTCCTTTGTTTATTCAGTGTAACTTTATAACCTTTCTCTCCTTTCATTCATTTAAGACAAAGCTTAGTTTCTTTTCCAAACATCTAATCAACAGTCTTTCTTTACCTAAGTTGTGTAACCCTTTCCCACAACTCTAATGATCCATTTCAAAAGGATACTAGTCTCAAGCAAAAGAGTAATATTTGCATTCACATGGTACTTCTCATGTCCCAGAACATTGCAAAGTGTTTTATTTTAAGCCAACGTATTATATTTGAAGTGTAATTGTGTTATAGGAAATATCCCTCAACAGATCACACCTCAATGTAGGAGAGTCTTGTGTGCTCCAATGACCCTATAACCACTGCTGCATAGAATTCCTTGCTCCTGGTAGCACCATTCATGGTAGAGGCTGGATGGGGTGCTGCCAAGCAAAGCAAAATCCAAACCGTTCTCATCAATAGACTAGGCGAAGGAAGACTGTCTCTACACTGCAAAAGCAGAAAATGGCTACAGTGACAAGGTGGTCCCAGTCAACGCGGTTTGACATGTCACTGAAATCTGAAGAGCAATCCATCAAGATTGTGTGAACAATGATTCCATGTTAGTTCAGCACAGGCTTCTGTCCAGGGCCCATTTTCCAAGCCCAGCAGTGATGGAAAATGATGAAAGACTGGGCTCTGGATCTGGGAGTCTCCAGTCAAGACTATACAGGCAACAAATGCATGAAGTCAATGGACACCTTGCTTGGGACAGAGATGTCTTTGGATAGCAGCATCAGGAGCACCAGTCCTCTTCACAATACCCTCTGCTTCAAACCAGATAGGAAAGAGGCTAGAAAAGATTTCCTAAAAACAGATTGTTCCTCTTAGTTGGGAAGCCACATGTTGCAGGATCACCATCTTTGTGGTCAAAGAGAGAAACCTTAGATTTTGCAGCTTGGAATGTTAGAAAATGCATGGACAATCTCAAAAGTGACCATCTGGTAAGAAGAACTGCAGTTATATTGTGTGAACTGTCAAGACTCCAAATTGACATCGCTGTCCACAATGAGGCCTACCTTCCTGAGGACAACAGCTGAAGGTATATACGAGCGGGCACAACTTCCACTGAAAAGTAAAGGCTGATGGTCAGCCACATGTCTAGCAAGTTGGTTTTATCATTCGGCAAAGAATTCTAGATGCATGGCAGAACTCCCAGTTGTATAAAACGAAAGGCTCATGACATTTCATCAACAGGTCAACCCTTACCAATATGCAACATTCACCAGATTTTACGCCTCAACCCTAGACACTGAAGGAGCTGAAGAAACATTCTGTTCTAACTTTGCCGAAATCTTCACTACCATTCCAAAAGAAGGCAAGACCATCACCCTGCAAGCATTTAATTTCGTGTTTGGCTGTAATCTTGATGTCTGGAGAGGAGCCATTGGGAAAAATCCCCATGGAAATGCCAATGCAAACGGTAATCTCCTGCTGACAAAGTCTGCTCAGCAATGGCATCAATATAGCTAACATCCCCTTCCATCAGAAGGCCAGAAAACAAAAACATGGAGCATTCTATATCAAAATGCCAGCATCTCCTGGATTATGGAATTACTTGGGGTGAAGATCTAGGTGATGGCCATATCACTTGACCTCTGCAGAAAAATGATGCCTACTGGATACTTCATCAACCAGCTCAATTGGTTCTTAATGTTCATCCAGCACCATGACATCACAACAGACAAAAATACAAGAGGAAAAAGATCAATGTCTCAACCTAAAATAGCCCGACTAAAACTAGAACCTCCATGCAGACCTCAATCAAATCTCGATTATCTTTACACATATAACTTAAGTTCAGAGCAGTGGGATGAAACACCAACAGTTTTTCTACACTCCTGTGTCCAAACTGTTGGGTTCAAGCACCTTTTTATGAGGACTCATTCGAAACGTGTGTTCTGCTGGATCAAAATCAAGCAGTCTTCTTTGCTTGGCAGAACCAAAGAGCACAAGTCAAAAAGACAACATTCCAATAGCTTAAGGCTGCCCACTAAAGACAAATCTAAAGGTTAAAAAACAATATGATAGAAACACAGA